CCTTTGAAGAACTTGATCCTTGGAGAAGGCGTCATCCTCATGGCTCATCATCTCAAGTTCATGCAAGTAAGGATGCCATTATTAAGTAAACATAAGATCCATTAAACCAATGGTTTTATTTATTTAGAATGTGGATAAAAAAGCATCACCTATACTTACTATAAAATAAAAGCAAAAAGCATTTTTGGTAAATTGCTCTCACTCTCTACTTGTTAACCACTCACACATATTTAATTTCAATTATTTTTATCATTTATTTTTATTTTTATTTTTAAACAAAATACATGGAGACACAAAGTACCTTTTTATGCTTGTATATATAAGGAGTTTATCTTATAAGAATGTCATTTTTATTTGAGAATAAAAATGCTCAATCTCAACTCTTTAATTGAAATAAATGACTTATATTAAAATATTACAAGTAAAACTATTATGTATAGTTGTTATCGTTGTTATCTCTATCATTGTCATTGTTACCACAAACATTACAAGAATTGTTACCGCCACCACCACTATAGTCACCACCATGACGATGGTGGTAGAGGCCATAGTTGTGATGTAACAATACTGGTAGAGGTGATCGAGGTAACAATAATGCTAATGATGACGATAGTAGTAATAGTGGTATTATAGTGATTATGGGGATGACAATGGTAGTGGAGAAAGTTGAGGCAATCACAGTGGCAGTTGTAATTATAATGATAACAACAATGTTAATGATAACAATGAAAGTGGAGATCGTGGTGGTAATGGTGGCGATAGTGGTGGTGGTGTAAATTATATAAATTTAATACTTTATTTTAAAAATTAAATTAGTAATAGCTTAAAAATTATAAATTTTTAAAAACTAATGCTAAAAAAATAATGACTGAAATAGTGACTTAAATATTTGGTGGTAGTATATGTAAATCTATATTTGTAAATAATGACCAATGATATAATTAGAAAAAAAAATTCTTAACAACAAAAATACTAACAAAATAACATAGTGGCTATTTGCAATCAATTTAGAGACTAAATTAAATGACAATTTTTTATAAACTAAATTTATAGCGACTGAAGTTGCTACCAAATATCACGATCACAAAATCAATCACATAAAGCATGTGACCAAAATGATAGGATTGACAATTTTTTCCTAGTAACACTATTTTTTAGTCGCTGCACAACCATTTATACAAATTTGATTGTTGATAACATTAGTAACAAGGCTTTTTGCAAAGGATGTTATTTGATCGTTAATTCAATCATTAAATGTAATAGCAATCAAAATAGACAAAATAATGATATGATAAGTCACTAAATATTTTTTGATGTCAGAACTATGTGTACTTTATGATCTTTTGTACCTTTATATATATATATATATATATATACTTATTTGTATACAATATTTTTAGTAGTTATAAACTCCTTTTATACATTCTTTGCTTGATTTTTGTACCTGTCTGAGGGTACACTCGTAATCTTCTTAGTGGTGAAGGGCCGAACGGATGC